GGTAGAGTACTTGCCTTGCATGCATGAGGCCCTAGGTTCGATTCCTCAGCACCTCATAAGCAGAAAAAGCTGAAAGTGGGTGCTATAGCTCAAGTGGTAGAACACTAGCCTTGAGCTGAAGAGCTCAGGGACAGTGCTCAGGCCCAGAGTTCAGGCTCCATGACCAGGAAAAAAAAAATTGAATTAAAAAAAAAAAAAACAACAACTGGCTGTGAAAGCCAAGCATCAGGGGCTCACACCTGTAATCCTAGCTACTCAGAAAGCTGAGTTCTGATGATCATGGTTCAAAGCCAGGCTGGACTGGAAAGTCCATGAGACTCCTATTCCCAAAAAAGCTGGAAGTAGAGCTGTGGCACCTGTGGTAGAACATTAATCTTTAAGCTCAAGGACAGCACCCAGGCCCTGAATTTAAGCCCTAGGACCAGCATACAGACCACATAATAATAATAGTAATAATAATAATAATAAAGCAGAACCAAACTAACTAAACAAACCCTTCCCATGCGAAGCTTACATTATGCTCAAATTGTGCCCTACTAAGTGAACTAAATTTGGATTGAAATACGGATTGAACACAGGGCCTCATGCTTGCTAGGCAGGTCCTGTACTACTTGAGCCATAACTCCAGACCCATTTTGCATTGCTTACTTGCTAAGTAGGGTCTCAACTTTTGCCCAGACATAAATTTCATTCTCCAACTTGTGGCTCCCTGTCACTGGGGATGACAGGTATGCCATGTGCCCAGGCATCACATTTCTCCCTCAGCGCTGGGACAACACTACTATGCCCCACTATTGGTTAAGATAGAATCTCAGCAAACTCCTTCGTTTTGCCCTAGCTGGCCTCTAATCATGATCCCCCAATCTTCACCTCCCAAGTAGCTAGGATGAGAGATTTGAACCACAGCTCAGAGCCTTAACTCACATTTTCATTTTTTCCTTTCTGTTTTTTTTTTTTTTTAAGGTCCAAGGCTGGAACTCAATCTCAGTACCTGGTGCTTTAGCTTATTGTCTAGCAAGCTACCAAATGAGCCATACCTCCAACCCCAAGACTCACCTTTTCAAAACAAGTGTTGAGAAGACTGTATTAAGCACCTCTGTTCCTGTATTTTCTCAGGTGATGATGACAGGTCAGGGGTGAATGGCACATTAATCATCCCATTGTTTGGATCCAAAACAAAAAGCAAAAAACCCAAATGCCAGTGCTGGTGGTTCATGCCTGTAATCCTAGCTACTCAGAAGGCTGTGATCTGAGGAGCATGGTTCAAAGCCAGCCCAGGCAAGAAAGTCTGTGACACTCTTATCTCCAATTAATCACATGAAAACCAGATGTGGATCTGTGGCTCAAAGTGGTAGAGTGATAACCTGAAAAAAAAGGGGCTCAGGGACAACGCACAGGCCTTGAGTTCAAATCCCATAACAGACAAAAAAGCTGAAGAGTGTCCAGTGCTTGGGCATGGGCCTGAGACCATCACAAGTCAAATAAAAAAGTTCAGATTCTGCTTAAGTCCTTGTTCCTTATAGTCCATAAAGAAGCTCTACTATCTTCTGGACTTTCGTGGGACAGAAAATTTTCTTTCTTAGCTTAAATAACTTGAGGTAGGATTTTTGGGTAATCCCCTGGTTAGAGTTCAAATTCTCTCTCAGCTTTGTCAGGTTTTTAAATTTATGTTTAACTGGTACATTAGAAAGTATACATTCTCATGGGATACCATGTAATGTTTCAATGTATATATGTGTATATTTATACACATATGTATATATGTGTATGTACATATATATCTGTAAACAAATAGATATATGTGTATATCTATACACATATGTATATATATAAGTATATGTACATATATGAATATATGTACATATATACATATACACACATATACATATATATGAATATATATATTAGTGTTTTGACTTGGAAATGAAGCATCTTCAGGCAGGTGCAGGCAGGATAAAAGGAAAACCATCCCATCACTCCTTTGGGTACTAGTTAAACAGTCCTTACTCAGGGAAGCTAGGATCCATCTCAGAGCACAGCGCAACTCAACGTGCACCCATTTCTACTTGCCCTTTTTGTCACTGCCATTGAGATAGTGACTGTCACTATCTTTGTTCTCCAGGAGACTCAGCACTCTGGGTGGGTCTGTCCTCATCTCTTCCCTGTTCCTCCAGTGTCCTGACTGCACCTGTGGAACCCAGCTGGGTGATGGGCAGACACACTTGTGGTTTCCAACACTGGACTTGGTTGTGATAGCTGTGGGTACTGCTACTCAGCTAGTACCTCTGCATGCTCCAGACCCCTTGAAAAACACTTCACACATTCATTCATTCATTCACTCCACCAGGATCTGTTGAGGGCCCAGGATCATTCATTTTTGCAAGGATCATTGGTTCTCTTTCAGTTTGAAATGCATTTTCTCCCAGCCCCGGCATTCCCCCGGCATTGCTTGGCTTTTCTCTGCCACGCTTGCTGGAAGCGTATTCTGCCCCAGTCATTTTCCTACATAATGGAGACATGAAAAACTTGTTAGTGACCTTCCCCTGACCTAGGCAGCAATTTCTCAACCTGTCACTGCCTGTCATGTGTGAGAACAGGCTTAATTCCCTTTCTTTCTGATGGCATGCAGGCCTGTGCCACCTTTGTGCACGCTTGGGTAAGCCTGAAGGTTCCTTCCTCTCTCTTTCCTCACGACCCCCGCCCTCTCTTCTTCCTTCTTTCTTCCCTATTGTACATGGATGCCCTGGGACTGCTGCACACATGGGAGAGGAAAAGAGAAAAAGAGAACAGAGCAAATCTAAGCGCTAGGGGATTTTTTTTTTTCAGCTTCATGAATGAGGCTTTTGAACTGAGCGGCCATGGCTCCTTTCTAACCTGTACCTTTCATGCCCTGTTTCCAACTGGAGAGGGAAATTGGAGGTGCCCTGGCCCACAGCCTGCAGTGAAATCCACTGTGGCTTACATCTCCCTCTCCTCAATTGGCAGTGGCAGCCATGACTCCTAGAGAGAAGGTGCATTGGACGCATCCTGCTGGTTAGACAGAGCTCATTGCAACACTTCTGAAACTTGCTGGGGACGGAAGCGAAGGGAGAGTTGGCCCAGCGTGGCCCAGAGCAGCAACTAAAGAACAGGAAAAGGATCAATTCTTGCAGCCAGTGGGCAGAGGGCTGCGGAAAAGGGGTGTCCATGAGGATTGCTTTTTAAACTTTCTTCCTTGACTAAAACCCAGGTTCTCAGTACAGGGGATGTGACTCATCGTTGAGAAATTCGCCATGGCTTTGGATGACATTTATTTTGATTAGTCCTGAGTCAAACTTCTGGAAGGATTTCTTTCTTTTTTTTTTTTTACCAGAGGCAAAGTGAGGCGAACATGGCATGGATGGTGGTTTAGAAACCGAAGAGGAAATGGGTCACTCCTGTTACTGGTAGGAGAGTTAAAGACATGTAGAAATGGAAAGAAAAATAAGCAGAAAAGGAAGAATATGGAGGAGGTAGGAGTCATCTCCACGCAGACAGGGACAACTGTGTTTCTAGTGGTCAGAGTTGGGACAGCTCATGTGCATCTTCCTGTGATTACAGAAATCTCAACCTGTTCATTCATTTCACGCACATTTGTGGGGCACCTTTTAATATTTATTTATTTGTCTGTTGTTTGTTGCTGGTACTGAGGCTTATACTCTCACTTATACTTATATTCTCACTTTCAAGGCCAACACTGTACCACTTGAGCCACAGCTCCACCACTGGCTTTTTGCTGGTTAATTGGAAATAAGAGTATCTCAGATTTGTCTGCCCAGTCTATCCTTGAACTTTGGTCCTCGGATCTCAGCCTCTTCAGTAGCTAGGATTATAGGAATGACCACCGGTGTCTGGCTGTTTTAAATTCTTAAATTAGCAGACCTTTGTATTTTGGGTTGTTTCATGTGGTACTTGCACATGTGCACACAATGCACTTTGGATACATTTGATGTTCCAAATTTGGTTCTAGGTACCAGAGGCCCAGTGAGGAAAATGGAAAGTCCTGCCTTGGTGGCACTTACCTGGGTAGAAGAGAAACACAGTGAACAAAGCAGCAGTCAAATGACACTCCGAATTCATCTTTTGTATTCGCAGAAATACATTCAGAATGCTCAAGTCCAAGATGTTGCAAACACTTGTAGTTTGCTGCACAAAAGGAGGGCTTAGTAATGGCACCTGCTCATGGATGTGGGATTCAATAGTTCTGGTCACTTTGGAGGTCCTAGATGGGTTTCCTTTTTCCTGAAAGAAAACACAAGGGCATGGGGGCTATCTGGAAAAGGGCGGAGGGCTCAGGGAGTCCCACTGGTTATGTTCTAAACCTCAATGGAATTTGAAAGCTATTTCAAAATGAACAGAGCAGCTGTCAGTTAAATCATAGACTCCAAGAGTATATCTAGAGATAGGCAAAGCAATGTCCCAGGCCCATCAGGATTTCACACCACATATAGAAGAACAAAACCGAGAGCACCGCTCAGCTGGTTAGCTTCACTTCTTCTTGACTTGAACTGATGGAGCTGCACACCAGTTGCAGCACAAAGCAATAATTTGGGAAGCAAAGAAGGTAATATTAAAGAAGCAAGAGCCAAGTTCCCAGAGCTCCGAGTTCCATTTCAGGCTGGTCTCTAACTAGCCATGGTGTGACACTCTCCCAAAAGTTTGAAGATGGAGACTAGAATATTGGGAGACCCTAGTGGGGGGGGCTCCCTAAGAACAGAGAAGGCATGGCTGGGAAGGGGTGGGTATCTGAGAAGACCGGAGGCCACTTGGACCAACAGCAGAAGCTGTGATGAGTAGCTAGGATTCCAGCATCTCACAGAACCTCAAAGAGGCTAGAATGACGGAGTAAGCTGCTCCGGGGAGACTGGGTTGGGAGTCTAGAGAAAGGAGGACCAGCTGCCTTGGCCAAGCAGCTGGGAGTTCAGCCACTTTTGTCTCTGTAAACTGGAGCCAGCGCTCATTGACACCCCTGCACACCTCAACCCACACCCTGCTCTTCTGGCTGCTCTCTTTGACCCCACTTTCTGGCCAAGCCTTTAGGTTCCATCCTCCCAAATGACCTCCAGAGTCTGCTGATTGCCAAGCCATTCTGGATAGCCAGCTTCAGAACAAATGATGATAGTTACAATACACTACAATAAAGAGGACGAGCAGAGAAGAAAGGAGAAAGAAGAAATACAGAGGGAGAGAAATAATCCTTGAAAGCTTCTGCGGAAGGCAGACCTGGCCATGACCCAGAGGAGACAGAAGTATGTGAGTCTTTCTAACCAGAGTGTCATCTCCAGATACAAGGAAGGTGCAATTCATCCGCCAGTCCCAGTACCCCTTCCTAATCATGCCACTCATCTGGCTTGGTTTTAAGAATACCAGTCACTCTCTTACTCTACTTGCTCCCAGTAACCAGGAGGGGGTCAGTTCAGATTCCCTTGCTATTTATACACATTTCCAAGAAGTCTTGTCAAACCAAAGAGCCTTCAGTCACTTTTTGTGAGGCTTCTATCCACCTGGTTCTAGCCACCCCTGTGCCCAGGCTGCCCACCAGCATCCATCATGAGCATGACCGGAGCTTTGATGGCTGCATAATTCCTTGTTATCTCTAACAAAAGAATTTCATAGATCGGGGCCAAGATGAGTCTCTTGGCCACCATAAGATATAAATTAAGCCAGACCTGACAGAATTTGTGATTGAGTAAATATCTGTAATTTAACTCCCAAGATGCTGATGGCCTACAATTCTTTACCTGGACATGAAATAAATTTTTATTATGTTGTTACTGGTATTTTTGCTTGAAACAGGGAGGCACTAATGGCCAAGACCAGTGGAAGTTCTGAGTGGTCAGGATGGACCTCAGGAACTGATCACATCTCTGGTTAAAGAGAAAAGACTGTGTCCTGGCTGGTTGCCATTGACTGGTCAAATGCCTAGTGAATGGCAGAGACAGAGAAGGGATGGCAAAGTACCTTGACTCAGTGTCAGCTTCAGTCACTATTAGCATCAGTTGTATTTCTTTATCATTTTTTTTAAATGAGCTACTTTATTAGAGACATACTGTTTCTGTTATACAAAGTCAAAACAGAAATTACTCAGCATCTCATCCTGAAATCAATTTAATAAAAATTATGCGTGGAATCCATCAAATATAAAATACTGTCCAGGCTCTTATTTGTGAATATCAAGCATGTGTGTGGATGTGGTTAGGCAGAGAACACCAGTTAATCAACGTGGTTCTTCTCTGGCCCAAACCCAACTATCTACCCTTCACCAAGTTCTCAGTGACTTTTCAAGATGATCAGGCTTAGAGACTCTCTCAGAGCTTAGTGGAGCCCCACCTAGGCTCATTCTTCCTTCCCTTATGGCAGTCTGTCCCTTTGACACATTTCCAAGGGGCTCCTTGGGAGGCAGAGCTGCTCCTCAGTAACACGGACTCTTGATGCTGATGGCAATGAATGAGTCAAATCTATGCATTTGCCACTGAACAAATAGGTCTTCATCTGGAGTTGTTTGTACATGTGTATGCCTTTGCATGTCAATAGTTTTTTCCTTCCCTAACTAAATGCTAAATGCAACATTTACAACCAGCCTTTCAGGAGTGATTTGTGCCTGACTGGAGCCCAATACATCAAATAAAGTCTGCCAACTTCCCATGCCAGAAGCAAGAGGCACTGGTTTAAAAAAATGGAAATTGGACAATAGTCTTATATACTCTCAGCTCTGCCATGGATGGCCTTCAACAGGAAGCCAATCAACAGAATCAAAAGAACACGGTTTCCTGTTAACATAGAGTGATGCCAAACCCACCAGACATTATTGTTTCGTGCCCTGTGCCAGTCATTGTCAACCATTGCAGGAATAATAACATATGACGGGGGCTGTGGTTTTAGTGGAATATTATTTTGCTTTTGGCATGATACCACACACCTTCATATGTTTTATTGCCCTTTTCTTTTTCCCCAAAGGACCATATCTGGCTCTTTTGCTGCATGCCACCTCTTAAACCCAAGCCAGGCAACTCCTAATTCTCTTCAGCCTTTTCTTAAGTAATATATATATATATATATATATATATATATATATGATCATCATAATATAGGGTTAATATATAAATCTACTGTGTATTGGGCCTTCAGCAATCCTGCTTTTCCTCTAAAAAGGGCTAGTTGCTTAAGACTTGTTTTGAGAGAGAAAAATAAACTCTCACATCATATTTCTCTTGGTTTCCAGGCTGATCTTGAAGGTGCTGATAGGTCATAAGCCTCAGCCTCTGCACGGATGTTACAACTCTGGAGCGGGTGGAAAGTACATATGTGTTTGGAATGTAACAAAAGGGAAAAGTTATTAGTGTGTTTTGGATAGGACCCTGTATTTTTAACCCTTTATCCAAACATAGCTATTGAGTTTTCTTCTCAAATGACAATTGTGAAGATGGAGGTGTGAGTGGTCATCTGAATCATTTTTTTCCAGACAGTCTGGGTTAGTGGTTAAGATATTTGATATCAGGAAGAGCTGGTTCAAGCTTTGACTTCCTTGCTAGCTGTGTGACTCTAGGGAAATGCTTGTGTTCATATCCCTCATTCCTTCTGTATAAAACAGAGAAAACACTTGGCTACCAGGGTCATCACCAAAAATATAAGTGAAGTAATAGGTTTTCCTCCCTGCTCTATTAGCTATCTGGGTAAATGTTGGGTTGCTGGCAATACAGTTATCATGAAAGCACTTTGGAAAGGATGGGTCTTTGTTCTAAGTGGGCTTGGGAGTGTGGAAAAGGAAGTATAAGGATCCTGTTGTTTCAGGACCACCGCAGAGTGGCTTTGGCGTGACCATTACCAAAAAGCTCTTTAGAAGGCAATAGGTCTCTGCTGTAAGTCGGTTTAGGGGTTTTACTATGGGATTATAGACTTCAGGGTCATGGCAAAAGTAGGACTATAGGCAGTGTAGCATTTCCATGATGTTCACATGTGTTATGTCAGTTGTGAGAATTCTGGGAGAGAAAACTTGGGCAGGTATTATTCCCACTTGGCAGAGGAAATTATTCTTTTACCCACTGCTAGAACTGTCAGACCATGCCTGGAACCTAAGGAGCTAGAATCCTTGCTCTATCTATCTATCTATCTATCTATCTATCTATCTATCTATCTATCTATCTATCTATCTATCTATACTTCATAGGTTAAGTTTGACCTAACGGTTTCTGAATACATCGTGAATGGTTCCCTAATTTCATGAGTAAACAAACTATAAACTATCCTTGTAACAAGTATCTGAACCTCAGTCACCAGAGACCAAACCATGTTCAAAGAAGACAGATGTGTTCTATAACCAACCTACCGTCTTGGTCCTGTGTGGTGGAACACAGAGGATTTGGAAGCATTTTTGCTCCCAGAATTGCCAATAAAGCCAATTAAGATACTACAAAACTAGATTTGTGGTAATTTGTTGTTGGCCATTTAACATCTCTCAGAGTTAAATTCAATTGTTCTTGGTCTATCCTCAGCCGTCCTTTCCAAGCAAGCAGAATCCTCTGCTTTTCCACACACACCCTGTTCACACTCTCCAGCCTATGTGCCTGCTGTGATCTCCTAGGGGGCTTGCTGCTCACTCATGGGTGGGATCTAAACCATGAGACCATTTGACTGCCTTGTCAAATGTCAATTTTTCTTCCCTCCAACTCTGCCTTGTCATCATTCCCTTTCTTCATAAAGCACTCCAGAAATTCCAACTTACAACCTAGAAGAGCCCTTAATGAGCCTATCATCTTCTGCAGCTGAATTAGTTTGTTACTTCCAAAAAGGAACAGATAATTCTTGGTCAAATGGCAGAGACCAGTGCAGTGCGGGGTGCGGTGCTCTGATTGGGTTGCTCCTCAACCAGATTCCTAGGGAAAGCACACTGTGATGGAAATGGCAGGTAGGTGGTTATGGCAATAGGCCCTCAGTAACAACACCTGAGGGTGAAGGAGCACAAGTCACCAGAGGAGGATTCAACACCAGTGGGACTAGCTCATCCTGCAGAGTTCACAGACTTAGAGTAGAAAGAGGCCGGGCCTTTATACCTCTGTATGGAGTGACCTATGGTTGAGTGCAAACTACTGCTAAGGAATGGGACCTTAGACTAGGTGTTGCCTAAGTGTTCCTGGAAAGGGACATCATCTAAGGACCTCCAGCCATCATAATCCCAGCAGCCACGGCAATGGAAACTCACTTCTGAAGGGGGCAAAACCCTGAGGCAGATGGGAACTGGGAAACTGATGCCTAGGGCTTTGAAGAGTTTGATGAAAAGACTGTAGGCCTAAAAGAGCATCTGTGTTTCCCCACTGCAAATGAAACAGCAGAAGATAGCTGGAGAAAACCGGAAAGGAGCTGAACTTTCCTGTTGTGCCAACTTCCACTTGGAACTTGGTCATGCATCTAATCTTGGGTTATGAAGTGCAAGGTGTTAGGCCACTGTTTCTCAAAGTATGCTCTGTGAATCTGACATGTCAAAATTATTCTGGGAAACTGGGCACTGGTAGCTCATGCCTGTAATCCTAGCTACTTGGGAGGCTGAGATCTGAAGATTTCGGTTTGAACCCAGACCAGGCAGAAAAGTTCTTATCTCCAAGTAACCACCAGAAAACTGGAAATGGTGCTGTGGTTCAAGTGGTAGAGCAAAAAAGCTCAGGGATAGTGCCTAAGCCCTGAGTTAAAGCCCCATGACTGACCAAAAAAATATTCTGGGAATGAGCTTTAGAAAATATAAAACCCGGGGCTGGGAAGGTGGCTCAGTGGAGAGCGCTTGCCTTGCAATGCATGAGGCCCTGGGTTCGATTCCCCAGCACCACATAAGCAAAAAGAGAAAAGCCGGAAGTGGCGCTGTGGCTCAAGTGGTAGAGCACTAGCCTTGAGCTGAAGAGCTGAGGGACAGCACCCAGGCCCAGAGTTCAGCCCCCACAACCGGACCCAAAAAAAAAAAAAGAAAAGAAAATATAAAACCCTCTCCCCTAAATAGAGTAAGAGAATCTCTGGGCTGGGGCCAGTAATTAGTATTCTAAATTACTCCCATTCCTCTTTTTGTTTCTTCTGCTAGAACTTAGAAATATCTCTACCAGAACTGTCTCTAAAATTGGAAGTATCTTCATAACCAAGAAGAAAATTTTCACTTATTAATTATATTTGTGTAGCTGGGTGGTATCATATAGCAGATTTTTTTTTCCAGTTCCCTCTGTAGTAAGTTCAAGTTGTAGTGACTGAAAAACTCATACTAATTGCCCTAGAGTAGCCATAGCCATGCTACTTACTCTATTTTGAGGGGACCAAACCCTCATCCAATCCTGTCTACCACCCCCCATCTTTGACCCAGCCATGGGGCTCCAAATCAGAACAACCTGTTTACAGGACTTTTCCTCTCTAGCTACCAAAATGGATTGAGGGATAAGCATCTGCCTAACGGTGAGCAATCACTGCCCCACCTTGGCCCAAGACTAGCTCAGAAATGAGTCTTTCCCAGAGAATTAGTTTTTCTACTAAACGGAAGCTGAGGTGGAGAAAGAACCTTCGCTCTCTTGTTTTGAGGCCATAAGTAGGATTCTAATTATTTCAGTAGCCATGGGCAGTGGCCTGGAGAACATGAATTTGGCAGATCAAGGCAAATGCCAGCTGAGGAGCTGAGAAGAAAGGAGAGCATGTCCTGCTGATTTCAAGGCCTTGAATTAAGTCATCATCCATTTTGCAAGGTTTGCTAATATGAACCAATAACATCTGCATTTGTAATGGATTTCCTGGTCCTCAAACACCTCTGAGGTTAGTGCATCAAGATGTGATGGTGTGCAAATGTAGAATGATCAGACTCTGAGAGAGGAAAAGGGGAAAGAGGGGGGTGGAAAAGGAGGGATGGGAAGGTCTCCACTGTCTTCTCCTACCTCTATAGGCTTGTAGTTACAATTAATCCCTGGAGGGCAAGGGCTTGTACATTTTCTTTTGTTGAGCCTGAAAAGGTATCTTTCAATCCAGTGTCCCACAAAGCCACAGCCCATTGACAGAAAGTAGCGTTTGAGAGGAACCCTTCCATCCTATCTAATATTCATATGGGCAAGGGTGGGAGGCTTAGGTTCACTGCCTTTTTTGTGTTCTTTTTAAAAAAGAGCTCTTGGGGCTGGGAAGGTGGCTCAGTGGTAGAGCGCTTGCCTTGCATGCCTGAGGCCCTGGGTTCGATTCCTCAGCACCACATAAGCAAAAAGAAAAAAGCCGGAAGTGGTGCTGTGGCTCAAGGGGTAGAGCGCTAGCCTTGAGCTGAAGAGCTGAGGGACAGTGCCCAGGCCCAGAGTTCAGGCCTCATGACCGGACCAAAAAAAAAAAAAAACTAATAAAAAATTAAAAAGAGCTCTCTTGTGTGCTGGTTTCTATGGGAAACAAAAAGTTTTCAACTCTCAATTTTGAAACTCTGTTAGGCGAGTCAGGGTAAAGGAAAGACTTGTATAACTTCTTGGTTCATCTGAGAGAAATGTTTATAGCTTGATGTATTTATCCTGGCTCCAAACAGCTACACAGTGCCAATTCATGCCTCAGGAGAATTCTTCTCCTCAAGACTCAATTTCCTTTGGACCTTCATTTGAGGATGAGAAAGGGAAAAAAGTTGAAGGTGATAGTTTGATGGGTTTGAATTGAGAAGATAGCAAGTAACTACTTTTGGATGTAAAAAGTTCACTGTGGAGAAATTACTCTGGAGAAGTTACTCCAACGTCCTTATTTGGGATGGTAGCAATGGTGGAAGTAGTAGAAGTGGTGGTAATGATGGCTATAGTGAGAGGTACTGGTGATGGTGGTGATTGGTGGTGGTATTGGTGGTGGTGATCGTGGTGATAACATGATGATGGTCGTGATTGGTGATGGTGATATTGGTGATGGTAATGATGGTGGTAAGGAAGAGAACAGAGGAGAAGGTGGTCTTTCTTCCCAATCTTTTTCATATCTGAAGCTTCTAATGTAATGCTCCCTCAAAGGATACATTTGAAATGTAAGGAACATTAGATAAAAAAACACCCATACAGAAATATATTCCATTTTCCCCTACCCTTAGCTAAGTAAGTGAAAAGCATCCTTCAGATTGACAGTCTCTCTCCCTTACTTAATAGCTCTTCTTCCCCTCCTCCATGCCCATTACTTCTTCCGCTCTGTCATGCTCCTCTTTGTCCTTCCTCTTTCCTGTCTCCAAATTAATCTTAGCAGGAAAGCCCAGAGCAAATGATCAAGTTTCCAGTCTAAATGTGATAGTCTGTCACTTTTCATTACTCTTGACAGAAACAAAACTGTCAGCATTGTCTCAGTACTGCCTTTGGTTCAGAGTGTTCTATCGGAGGCTGAAGGGAACATAAGGATTAGAAAGAGGAAGGTTGCTCTGGTGTAATGAAAAGCATGTAATGGAAGGATAGACATGGCCTCCAATTCCAAACATGTGTGTGCTTTTAGACCATCACATTTGAGGTGGCTATTGATTACGGCTAGAACATATTTACATAATTGTGGCTTATTTTTTATAAAGTAGTGGTCTGAGGGCACTTCATTAACCAGGTTTGTTTCTTGATACATCCTCCTGCAATTTCCTTGAATGCTTGGATTTGATACACAATGAAATGATACCTGCCTGGCTTGTTTCCTGTAGATTGGCCCTTGCTATTGACTAAATTGTTAAAGACCACGAAGCATGTTTATTTGTGGAAGATTGTCTGTATATTCACCAAAGGCTGTTTATCTTTATCTGGCCCGTACATTCAGAGAAGCCAGTTTTTGTTGTTGTTATTGTGTTGTGTGTGGATGTACTGTTGTTGTTGTTTGCCCCCACGTACCAAGGCTTGAACACAGGGCCTGATGCTTTCACTTGGCTTATTTGCTTGATTTGTGGCTCCACTTCTGGCTTGCTGCTGATTAGGAGAAAAGAGCCTCACACTTTTCTGTCTGGGCTGGCTTTGAACCTGAGAATCTAGTATGATAGGAGTGAGCCACCAATGCCTGGCTAGAATCCAGTTTTCTGAAAGAGCCACAGAAACCACACTTAGCAACAACAGGGAATCACTTGGTTCAGAGTGGGTAGTGGATGGCCCATGATCTTGGTTTAGGGATATTTCAGAACTTTAATATTTTGGTAAACCCAGGCATCATAAATCACTGAATTCCAAGGAATCTATTCAAACCCCTCTGGATAGCTGTTTAAAATGCTGCCACTGATTGGTTAGCCAATTCAATTGAGTGTGTGTGTGTGTGTGTGTGTGTGTGTGTGTGTGTGTGTGTTGCTGGGGCTTGCACATGCAAGGCAAGTATTTTACCACTGAGCTACATCCCCAAATCCTTCTTCACAATTCTTACCTTAGTAGAGCAATCACATTTGCTTTTCTTTCTGCAGAATCCCTGCTCAGTTATCCATAATCTGGACTGTCCAATTTATTTTCTTCCTGTGCTATATCTTCTCTTACACCCAAATAGAATGTATACCAATTGTCCCTTGCCGCCAGCAATTTCTGCTAAAACCTCCAAGTAGACACTGCTTCCTTTTACAATTAAGTCTGTATTTATTAATATAATCCAGTAAGTCCTTTCCCTAGCTCTGGCTATACTGTCAATACAATAGATCAAAGTAAAAAATTGATTTTTTTAACTTGATTGTTGATTGAACATTTTTAAACCGCAGTGTTAGTGCATGCTGAACAGTTATCAGATTTTCTTCTGTGTTATCATAAGAAACTTGCCCAATTGCTTTTCTCCTCAAATTGGCATGTTCACAGCCATTTATACTTTAAACATCACTTGTCTGGCCACAGTTGAATTGGTAAGTGACCAAAACTACTATCTTTACATTACCATCTACCAATATAGGTCCAAGAATAGTCATTAGAATATTTTTCAAGTACAGAATTCTAGTTAATCTCAGAACCAGTCCCTTGAGACTAAATTCTTAAAGCGATTTTAAGAACAAATGAAATGTTTGATTTTCTGCACTAAAGACTCCCCATCATTTTATCCGAAGTGAAAGTTCATTGGATAGGTTCAATCCTTAAATGATTCTGTTGAAGAACCTTGGAATATGCTAGCCTTGTCCTTAGAAACAAATGATTTGAGGAAGTACTGTAATATAACAGGAAGGAAGCACCATTTAACACAGATGGGATAAATAGCAAAAAAAAAAAAAAAGGCAGCCTCAAGTTGCTGAGCTAATTCAGTAGCCTTAGACACAGGTGGCAATTTTTCTAAGCAAAATACTAATAGTTGCAATTGACAACACCTTCAATGATATCTTTTCAGATCTAGAAAATCAGGCAAAACAATGATTTCCCACTTTATCCAAAAATCTGTTCCAACTGTTTTACTTGGTGCTTCCTTAAGCAAGAAGAGGAATATATCCCTAAAACTAACGTCTGTCTCAAAGCCCTGGTAATTTCTTAACAACCCTATTGCTCTGTACTGTGTTTTGGAATAATAATTTAAAAATGGTCTTCTAAAAAAATAATAAAATAAAATTCTGCCACTTCAGTAAGTGAAGTCCTTAGAGTCACATGATAGGTAAGGCCAAGAAGGGGATGGGGTTGTATTCGTGTGTCTTAAACTCCAGTAGATTTGCCCACTGACTCTTCCCTTGTGAGCACAGCACCTTGGCTTCTGGTTATTTTCAAATCAGGATATGGAGGTCACTTAGACCACCCCGGTAAATCTTTCCCATCAGATCAAATCTTTGTTGTTCCATTCTTCTCTCTGAATCTTTTAGTAAAACAAGGACAAATTGTTAATTCTAGATTAATATGCTTAATAACTGAAATCTAGATTCTTTCAGGAAGACAGGCAACCACGGGATTAGTTGCAGCTGAGGGTGCCCATGGGCTTCTCCTAAGTCATCACTGGAGGCTGAGACCACCTGTGTAGCACCTATAAATAACTTAGGCCTAATTACCCTATGGAACATAAGCTTTGCCAGCTCTGCTCTCTGGCCTCCAGACTGGCCTGGGTTCTGATCTTACCGAAGGGTATCAGGAGCCCAGAGTCCTGGAGAAGGCCATAGACAAGACATCCTCCTTAAGACGGTTGAATGTTTACTCCAGCTGGGCATCGGAGCGTTCAGCAGGAAGAGAAAGAAGCACCTGTGTTTTGTCCACCAGCTCCAAGATGGATTCCCTAGGTATGTACTTTTTTTGTTTGTCGGTCATGGGGCTTGAACTCTGGGCCTGGGTGCTGTTCCTCAGCAATTCAGCTCAAGGTAAATGCTCTACCTTGAGCCACAGCACCACTTCCTGCTTTCTGTGATTAATTGAAGAGACTTTCCTGCCCGGGCTGGCTTTGAACTACGATCCTCAGATCTCAGCCTCCTGAGTAGCTAGGATTACAGGTGTGAGCCATTGCACCCAGCTCCCTAGGTATGTACTTTTATACACAAAAGAGACAGATGTAATTCAGAGACTGTATTTCAGAGCTCTTCAATCAGAAAGAATGAAAGTCAAGTACACTGTCTTAAATTTCAGCAGATTGATCCGTGGTATAATTTTGAAAACAAAAATCAAATTCCAGTTTGAATTCCACATCGTGGGAAGTAGAAAGGGTCCCCATGATCATTACAGAGCCTTAGCTACTAGATGGTCTTTGTTCTACAGAGGACGATGCAATAGGGTGTACTGCAGGTATGCACTGTGCATAATCAAATTGTCTGATCAGCTGATGAATACAAATTGACAGCAAGAGCTTTGGAGTCTGGTTTTACCTGTTGACATTCAGCTCACTTGCTCTTGTGCTGACTTCACTCTTGTGCTTCAGATTAACCTCTGGAGGACTAATTATATCTTATTTATGTGAATTTTATTAGATACTGCATTATGTGTATCTTAGATGCTTTTACTCCCAGCTGGATTTGCCCCCAAGAGCATCTGCAGTTGCCCTACCTGAAGGACCAGGGCTGGTGTGCTCTCAGCCCTTGCCAGCTGAAGATGAGGCTGCTCAGCTTTGTGCTTGGGAGCAGGGCAAGAAGGAGCCACTGGGGTGGAGGAGGACACAGTTCACTCCTGACCCCATGGGCAGCTTGCAAAGGGAGGGGAAAGCAAGGCAGGGTTGTACTCCAGCTCCTGCTCCTGGGGGAGCGGCCAGCCTCCCTGGGCCCCAGTGCCAGGCCCAGTTTGCTTTGGCCAAGCCTTCCCACTGTGGAGTGTCCTCTGGCCCCTGCTGCCTCGGGGGACGCCCTTAACCCCTGACGTTTGTGGATCTTGAACAGAAAATACCAACAGTGTGCAGACCCTAGAAGAAGACTCTGCTTCTTTCCACCCCAATCAAATGTGGACTCACATTTGGAGACAGTCCTCCTTTCCCTAGAAGCTCTAGACCAGCCTGGCTCTCCCCATCCTCTTCCCCACCCCTCCGCTCCCCTCCATGTTTGGGAATCCCGGCAGTGTGCCCTGCTCCAGCCAGCCGGACCTTCCAAGTGTCCTGACATTGACCTTGCTGAGATTTCACACTGGGTCCCTGTTTCTTCACAAAACAACGCAGCAGCAGAAGGGAAAAAAGGCAAGGCCCTTAACTTTCTTGTTGCAAAATTCCCCATTAAGTTTAGAAGAAAAACAGCCAAAGGAGGGTTGAATTGTGTCCCCATTAGAGTCCCTTCTGCAGAGTCCTGGGAAGGGAGGGGTGGGGGGCTTTCCCTGTCAGCCTGGCCTGGGCTGCCTGGAGGCTGGCTGGACTTTTGCCTCGTTGGAAAGGGTTTTGTTTTCCAACAGAAGGGACCATTTCCCTCCTCCTATGTTTTCCCTCCTTGCTTTCCCTTTGGCTGAGTGTCTCTCCATTTTCACTTTTTCCCATAATGACGGTGCTTTTTAACGATCACATTCTGAAAGAGTGACCATAGCCCACCATCATCACTTGGAGTTATCTAAATTTTGAAGCAAACGTTGGAAATGAATGTGTTGTTGAGAGCTCCTACTCAGGATGGTGAGACCACTGATAGAAGTTTTATATGCCCTTTCATATAATGGTTCATTTTCTCATTTTCTCTACCTAATAACCCTGATGTTTGGTCTGTTTCCTATCTCTGTTTTGTTCTGTTTCTCCCTCACTGTCTCTTTCTCCCTCCCTCTTTCCCTTTCCCTTTTTCTCCCTTTCTTATTCCCTATCTATCTATCTGTCTGTCTGTCTATCTATCTATCTATCTATCTATCTATCTATCTATCTATCTATCTATCTATCGTCTAACAGCAAGAACTGGGACCTGATTAACTCTGATCTCCATCAACTACTGCCTTTGGGACCAGGGTCATAAGTCTTTAAGTCTCTATTTCTTTATCTGCATGATGGAGTTAATAATGCCCATTTTAACTTGTCCGGTTGAGATGATAGATTACACATAATCATATTCTCACCACATAGATTATATTCCATGGTACAATTTTAATAGTAAGTTATAGAGTGGCCCTTCAGAATAAAATGAGTTCTCTAACTACCCTGCCCTCTGCCCGTAAGAAAACTTGGGTTAGCAGGTTCCAGGCTCTGGAATCTCAGGTCAATCAAGTCCATATAATCCTTCTACTAAACATTTATATCGTTTCCTACAAAGAAAGAGCTATAATTTCTCTCCCTGAACATCTGCTTCAGCCTCCTAACCTCTCTATCTGTACTCCTACTCCACTTTTGCCCACTTTCCAAAAAGCAGTCTACAAGTTCTTTAAAATTTGGGACTCTGCACAGTGTCTCACACCTGCAATCCCAGCTACTTGGGAAGCAGAATTCAAGCGTTTGCGGCCATCCCAGGGGGGAAGAAGTTAGCAAGACTCCCATCTCTCAAAAAGCCAAGTGTGGTGGTACCTGACAGAAATTCCCAGATTCTTGGGAAGTGAGATTGTGGTTAGAGGCTAGCCTTGGGCAAACACACAAGAACCTATCTGAAAAATAACTAAAGCAAAAAAGTGTTGAAAGCAGGGTTTAAGTAGGACAGAACTGGCTTAGCAAATGTGAGGCCCTGAGTTCCAATCCCAGCATTCACAGAAAAAAAACTGAAGTAAAACAAAAATTCCAAAATTCTAAGATGATATCACCCTCTTTCTAGAAATTCTTCAGTGGTTTCCATTGCACTTGGGATGAATCGAAGTTCTGTTCTTTAAGCCAAAGGCATACTCTTGCCCTGACACCCGACGTGGTCTCCCGTTGCTCTGCCTTTGCTCTGCCTCAGATACCTGACTGCCTTCTGACCTTTTCTAGTCTCTGATGACCTTGGGCTCTCTGCTGCCATAACACTCTGTACTCACTCTTCCCTGGACCTGAAACTTTCTTCTGAGAAGAAGATGCCATCCCATCACCTGGTCCAAAGACGGTTTGGTCCTCAGCTTGGTATTCATGGGAGGTGGGAGGTGTGCCTAATAGGTATTAGGTCCTTGAGGGTATGTCCTTCAAAAGGAAGGTGGTGCACTGGTCTCCTTTTAT